GCTTCGACTCGACAACGAGCCCCGGATAAGGAGAAGGCAAGGCGCGCTTGTTAGATTAATTTGCATTTCCTATATCGAGTCGATGGCTCAACACGACGAGGTCTGGACCTGAACTTCCAAGGAGCTCGCTTTGCAGAAACAAGTTTTGACACAAGCTTTGGTGTGAGTTGACGGGCCTTTGTTTTGACAATGCTGCGCGTAAGTCGATTACATGCTGACACGAATAGACCTCCATGTAGCGGACAGTTGTAGCATATAAACAGCTCAACCATCCCTGGCCCATACAAGCAAGGAAGTGCAGCGATAATTGGTGTCATGACAGTCATAGCATGTGTGGTGCCATCCTGACGGTCTGCTCAGGAAGGCATGTCTGTGGCGAGCTGAAGGTCAACGTGGGATTGCAATCATGTCCTGTATGGAAACTTGGGAAAGGCAGCCGAGCAAGGCAAGTGGTAGAGAGTCGGTGAACGATAAGAGAGGGAAGCTGTCGCCAGTTTCGGGGTTCATGGATGCTGGAAGTGGATCCAATGGCGAACGTTCGGGCTCGGCCAGCGCGCTAATATCTGCTATCACAAAGTTTCACGGGTAAGCTGCAGCGTCATGGAGCTAAGTGCCTCTCATAAGGGGTCGTAAAAATTGACATGTATTGCTCGCGGCCACGCTGGGTAGAACGAGTCAATTTCGCCAAGGCCTGCAATATCGATGTATATGATATGTAGTCTGACTCCACCATTGCTGACCATGTGCCTATAGGACTTATTGGCACCTGCACGGTGGATAAGCTAGTCATTTTTGGAAGATTAAAAAGTGGGACTGGGGCGAGCAAGGCATGCAGTTCAAACGCAATATTTGCAATGGTTTGGATAAAGGTTCGGTTTACGACGCACCGGCAACGCACAGGAGGCTCGGTGAATCTTGCCTCTCCATTTTAGTTGCATGCGTGTATATCAGCTCAAGGCAGAACTTTTACCTTTTGAGGCCAGATGTCAACTGAGGTGGTCGCACCGCATTGGTCAGAATGTTCCTTGTTTATCATACTTCTGATATCATACTGAAACTCGCTTGCGACAAGAAACAGAATGTTGTAAGAACCGGCAATGGCTCAATGTTGGGTGTTACCGCTTCTTTGTCGCCATCACTTTTACCTCGCCAGTTGTGTTATGGGTTGATTGCTACATACCTCAATACGAGGCGAAGCAAGCCTCTGAACTCGAACTGCGCCATGTAGGCAGGTTGAGATACGAGTAGACTTATTCAACTTTGCCATTGATAGGCGATGAATGGACGACTAGCATCTGCTAGAAAGTTCCGGGGCGAGAGCACTAGGTTTGAGCTACTTCGAAATGATTGTAATACATCAAAACCGCGAAGGTCTGTTCGCCTATCTAGGCAGTATCCGGCTGATAAGCTGTAATATGTCATCGGTATCTCCGTAGAAGTTCATGACTGACAATCGGCTGTTATCATTTGCTGTTCATAACCAGCAAGATTGGATCGGTCTCCCGATTGGGGCCATGGTAAGGACATTTTCCGAATGATTCTCAATATGCGTCTATACACACAGCTATACAGTTCTGAAGGCCGAGCACGGACTATATAGGGTGGACCAAGCTGATGTGTTGTTAATCATGTTCATGCCGGGGCGCTTTGGGGACAGGCTACCAAGCAGCGATCATCTGAGAAAATTAGGTAGGTACCTATTCTCCAGGGTTACCCTAGTCTTGTTCCTTAGTAATGATCCAGGGACCAACAGGCGGTCTGTGATTGACCCACAAGTCTCAACTGTGTGAGATCCGATGCGATGGTGAGTGGCTCATCTCTCCAGACCCCACAACTACTAGTACGAAGTACCCTGGAAGGTCACCCCACACAAACCCTACGGAGTACGTTGTAGGTAACCTGGTAAAGATCTCGAAAGAAGTATAGTTATTTGTATGTGTAACTACTAATCATGGATAACGATTTGCTTGAGATAGTATAATGAGCCGGACTCCGGTACAGAATGACCACAACGCACCAGATTCTGTTCTGCAAGCTTATCTGGAGGGCACAGCTATTTTATGCATCTTGTATGTCATCCTATGAGACAGTTGTCCCAACCCTCGGTATTTATGTCGGTTAGTACAATACACGCGGACAGACTACCCGGGATAGTCCTTCATCCGCCTCGACTCCTTCAGCAAGGGATCAATCCACGCCCAACAGACTGGATAAAAATTTCAAAACGCACTGTCAGTTTTATTCGGAAATATTGTCAGCTTTTCATGATCATCGTGATCGGAGGTTTGTTATGATAATCGACCTATTGGAATGTAGTAGTTGTGTATATTGTGACCAGATGCTCTTAAAATATTACCATGGTTAACAGCATCATGCTACTTCACAGGTAATTTTCATAACCCAAGAAATTGACATTGTAAATACAGGTCGGCAGTAAAGGCTAATGAAGAATGGAACAAATGCCGACTACTAGTACTTGAACTGGAACACTACTACGAGATACTTCTTCTGATTCATGAGCCTTTTGTGTCAAAACGACTTATCAACCAATCCGTATATTGTGCCTGGGATGTAAAACCTAGTTCGTTGCCTGGTAAGTTAGGTGGCTTCGTCTCCTTGCATCCGATCGAGCTCTGCAAAATGACCCAAGATGTTCCGCCTCAGCATCTTGTGGAGCAGCGATTGATTGCACCATATTAAATCATACTAATCCCGGATATAAAGTTGTGCTATCCTGAAGCTATAAAAGCAAGGAGGCGCACAAAGAAAGGCTAATTGAATTTGTCCTTTGAACACTCGATAACAATCCAGCATTGATATGGCCTGTATGTTGGGTTTCTTACAATACCGTCATTTAGTGTTCGGTAGCCGGCGGCGGACAAAGATTTTACTGCGCAGTAAGTGCCTCAACAACTTCAACCTAAGTATATCAGTACTCAACCACTAATCTGGAATTAACTCCGCTAGAAACTATGGAGCAATAAGCCTAGTATGATTTCATCATTCAGCCTCGCACTAAAATCATATTAGGAGTGACAGGATCGCTAAATAAGTTACAAGCGAGAAGCACGATAGTTGAGCCGAAGAGCACACGATACGAGAGATCACAATGCAATTGCCATAATGAGATGTTAAGGATAAATACACCCCCATAACCTCGAATATTCCGAAGCAAAAAAAAAAAATAAAAATAAAAATAAAAATAAAAATAAAAATAAAAATAAAATAAATAAATTACGACATCGTGTCGCGTTCTCAGTTCTACATGGCTTTATCAATGCTAATAATATGAATTTGGATTTCGCTTTGATATTCATTGTTATCAGGCCTAGTTGTGGTTGCAGAAAATAAAAGATCCAATAGCAATTATTGGCTCCAGAATCATCAGTGACTCTGTTATCAATGCTCAAAGCAGGTTAAGTGTGCTGCAGAATTATCTTCAACTTAGTGTAGTTGCTGTTATGAATGTGCATTATCAAGAAAACAAGGGTGTCCTTACCAGTAAGCCGTTGCGCCAACAAGTTTCGAATACGGAAGATACCAAAGTTCAACGCGATAAGGGTGTTATTTTCTTCTCTATTTTGATTTCTCTTTTTTTTCTTTAGGTATTTTGTCTTGTATTTTCTTTTTTCGCTTTCGGTGAGCACCTCGTGGAGTATCTTTGTTATATCGCCGCGTACATCCACCACCATGCCGCTCGCTTCACGTAAAAATAACACCACCAACCAAGATAAGGCTCCATTAGAAGTCAGATTAATTACTATTCCTGGCTTTGCGCCTTGTATTCTGATTATGGTGGTCAGCTAAGAAGTGGGTTGTGCATACAACCTCACGTCCAAATCTATGTATTACCAAGAGCAAGACAGGGCATTGAGCGGCATATGCTATCAATCGCACTATTTGAATTATGCATAGAATCCTGCATGATCCATTCGCATTGGAGAAGGGCAAAAAATTGGTAAGCATTATATCTCAGGTAGTTCGGGATTCCAGAAGGAGGACACTCGCTGACACCATTGAACGTGAGCCTTTTGATATATCAGATAGGTGGAAAAGACTTCGTTAGGATCAACGCTGACCTCATGCCACTAGTGATAACCGACCAGAATGACAAGGAATTAACCCGGACCCACTGGATCCACTCGTACTGTAAATAGTATTGCGTTAGAGGTACAGTAGGACGTACATGATGCGCAGTATGTATAGTAGTTGCATAGTAGTGTGGCCTTCCTCGGTACAGGAGTTCGCCCCTCCCACACTTCCATTAAGGGCAATGACTTTACTGAGTTACTACTCTCGGCCAGCGAATGATTGAGGCCTGAGCGAACACGGATAACATGTGTGGCTGAACTTGAAAGGGAGGCCTCAATCTCCACTGCATACGCACAAGTGTCTCCATATGCCTGTCTGTCTTCTCGCGGGCCGGCGAACTACATGTCTGACCTCTATTTCTTTTTTTAATATTATTTTTTAGTTTTGTCTGAGCTGGAGCATCGTGAGCTGGCTGTGAGAGATCATCGGTTGATTTTCTTGTTCGAGCTAATATCAGGCCTTCGTTGACCCATTTGTCTATCTGTATAATACAGTTAATGTTGCTCGGTCCCAATCGTTCACTCTGACTCCATCCTGCAAGACTTCGGACAAAAGTCTTCGCATATATTCTTTTCTTCTTCCTTCTATTTCCTCTCTCCCCTTCTGCTCTCTATTTCATTGCCACTTCACTGCCGCCACAGATTTTCCTCCGGCCTCTGCCTTTCCCTGCCCGGTATACTATTACCTATCAAACCCCTCTCGAGGGATTTTCTTTCCGGGTGTCAAGACACATACAGGAGGAAGAGAAAGGCAGCATTTCATTTGGAAGAAGTTTGTCACTCAGCATCCTCCCCTCAACTAACCCTTATTAATCACGTTTGTTTCCAGCGTTCGCTAGTTTTCTTTAAGCACATGCCGGCTGTCTCAAGAAGAGGTTGGTGAGCGGCTCAACTTGGTGGCCGTTGGCAATGAAGTGGGGATTCACTGGCTCGTTGCTTGCGTTGCTCGCAGTAACAGCAGCAGGGTGGCCGTACGATGAGTCCCTGGTCGATTATAACTTGAATGTGAACAAGGATACGACCAACCCGGCAGAATATACTCACGCGGAATGGAAGGGTCATAAATTTCATCCCTCTCCAAAAAGCTGGCGTTTCCCCTTCTACACCCTGTTCATTGACCGGTTTGTCAATGGTGATCCAACTAATGATAACATCAACGGGTCACTATTTGAACATGACCTTAACTCAAATCAAATGCGTCACGGTGGTGATGCAGCTGGCTTGGTTGATACACTAGACTATTTACAAGGAATGGGAATAAAGGTTCGTGACAACGTATTCCGTGTTGTTCCTTGCTACTGGTGTATATACCATATGACTGACTGACCTCTGCAGGGCATTTATTTGGCTGGTACTATACTGATGAATCAGCCATGGGGTTCAGACGGTTACTCGATTTTGGATACTACTCTACTTGATCAACATTATGGTACAATTCAAACCTGGAGAGACGCGATCACTGAGATCCATAAGCGGGACATGTATGTCCTCTTTGACAATACTATCGCAACGTAAGATGCCACCCTCGCCTAAGTTGCTACATTCCAGCGCTGACATGAAACCAGCATGGGCGATCTGATTGGATTTGAAGGGTATTTAAATACTACCACCCCTTTCTCAGTCAAGGAGCACAAAGCATTGTGGAAATCCGAACGTCAGTATGTCGACTTCCGCTTTGACAATGAGTACAACAACACTTGTGAATACCCTCGATTCTGGAACGAGACTGGTTATCCAGTCGATAAAGATGTCACAGATGAGCTAGTCGGGTGCTATAACAGTGATTTCGACCAGTACGGTGACAGGGAAGCTTTCGGAGTCTACCCAGACTGGGAGCGTCAGTTGGCCAAATTCGCTTCAGTCCAGGATCGTCTACGTGAATGGCACCCTAGCGTTAAAGAGAGACTTATCCGACACTCATGTATGATTATAAAGGCCCTTGATATTGATGGCTTCCGCTACGATAAAGCGACGCAGGCCACAGTGGATGCTCTCGGTGATATGTCCCATGCTTATAGAGAGTGCGCTCGCAGTGTTGGAAAGGATAACTTCTTTCTTCCCGGAGAAATCACTGGTGGAAATAATTTTGGTTCTATCTACCTCGGACGTGGAAGACAGCCTAACCAATACCCAGACTCCTCCCTAGCTTCGATGAACATGACAAACTCATCAGATCACCAGTACTTCTTACGCGATGACGGTCTGCAAGCTCTAGATTCAGCTGCTTTCCATTATTCGGTGTACCGTACTCTCACTCGATTCCTAGGTATGGATGGCAACCTGGCTGCGGGTTATGACACGCCTTTGGACTGGACGGACTCTTGGAATATCATGGTATTGAGCAACGATATGATCAATGCTAACACTGGTAAATTCGATCCCCGGCATATGTATGGTACTACGAACCAGGATGTTTTCCGTTGGCCCGCCATTGAGATGGGAGTCGAGAGACAGCTTTTGGGTCACTTTATCACCACACTGCATCTTCCAGGCATCCCAATTTTGCTGTGGGGAGAAGAGCAAGCCTTCTATATCCTAGACTCCACTGCGGATAACTATATATATGGCCGTCAAGCAATGTCTCCCTCCACCGCATGGAAAACACACGGATGCTATTCCCTTGGTTCGTCGCAATACTACAACTGGCCAATCAGCGCAGGTAGGGAAGGATGCCACGATGAAGCTGTTGCTTATGATCATCGGGATCCCTCTCATCCTCTCCACAATATCATCAAACATATGTTTCAAATGCGACAGGACTTCCCGGTACTGAATGATGGATACTCGGTTGTCAAATTGTCAAAACAGACTCATGAGATCCAATACCCGGGTTCGAATGGCACGGCAACTGAAGTCGGTGTCTGGTCAGTTATGCGAGATGTCGTCTCGAACATTCAAGACTTAAGCGGCAACAACGAACCCGTGTGGCTGGTCTATCAAAACGACAACAAGACCGTGGAATACAACTTTGATTGTGGGAGTAATGATTCGGCCTTAATCTCTCCATTTACCACAGGGACCACTGTTGTTAATCTCTTCTACCCGCACGATGAACTCAAGCTGAAAGATGGCCCGAAATCACTTCACCTGAATGGCACCAATGCAACCAACGGGTGTCTGGATAGTCTGCAAATGAAACCTTTCGAATTCAGAGCTTATGTTCCAAAGGCTAACTTTGTTAAACCTCGTCCCATGATCACCCAATTTGAGCCTGGTCACGATGTGCCGCAGATTTCTAAAGTCGGGCCTAATGATTCAGAAGACATCGATGTTAGCATTTACTTTTCCACCAAGATGGACTGCGATCAGGTTACGAAATCCATTTCATTCGAATCCAGTACTGAAGCTGGCAAGACGCCTTCTATTAGCAACAGCAGTGTTAGCTGCAAAGGTGTGAAGGGTGATGATCCAAAGTGGACTGGTCAAATCCCCAACGCCTGGGTCTGGACAGCGAAGTTGAGTGGTGTTTACAACGGCATTCATCGCTTGACCGTCAAAAATGCCACTAGTTTGGACGGGCATACTTCTACCCAGGCAACTGATCACTTCTTGATCCGAGTGGGCCAAAGGGACAATCCATTGGTATTCACCTCTGCGAACTATTCGACCTCCTTGTTGGGCCAATATGACAATGGCACGCTCTACATTCACCATCGTGCAGCAGGCGCAAATAAATACCGCTACTCAACAAACTTTGGTTCCTCATTCTCTGACTGGAAAGACTACCACGGAGGAAATGATACCATTGAGGAATTGCCCTGGAGTGGAACGGACAAGCAAAAGTGGCAAGGGAAGCACGTGCGAGTCGAATATTGGAATAAGTTAACTGGCAGCAGTGACTACGCCCAAGAAGGCGACTCTGGATATGATCGCCCACGACGCTTCCCCCATTTATTCTTCAACGGGCCGTTCAACCAATATGGATACGATGCCGGCTTGGACAACGTTGCGACGCAAGACAGTGATGGTCTTTGGAAGTTCAGATTCATGGCTGAGTTCCCAGCGCAAGGACAGTTCAATGTTTGGGGAATGAATCCAGACGGTCAACCAGACCAGAGCTACGTATTCGGTGATATAGATGATGATGGAGTGTTGGACCGTATGCCCCCTTCTTCGCTTAGTTCTACGGTGGTAAACATCACGGATATCCCTCCATCTCCATACTTGGCGTGGAATCTTGGTGTTGACGACGGAACTCTGCGTGTTCATCTTCTGCCAACGGGTTCAAGGACTATCCAGATGGTTGTGTACTTCCTCCTCTGGTTTGTTCCCCTCATCACAGCCGTCGCTTGTGTCTATGTCTTTGTGAAATCCTTCTACCAAGTCAAATTCAACCAAGTGGGAGTCAGCGAAAAGAAATCAATCCTCCCCTTGGCATTCAGACGGAAATCAAACCCGGACGGAAGCGGTGGATCAATCAATCCTTTCATGCGCCTTGCGAATAAGTCTGGATTCTTGCAGAGTACGCCTGCGTTTGGAACAGTAGCTTCACGAAGACGGACGACCTTGATTGCCACCATGGAATATGACATTGAGGACTGGGCCATTAAGATTAAAATCGGCGGTCTGGGTGTTATGGCCCAGCTGATGGGCAAACACCTTGGACAGCAGGATCTAATTTGGGTTGTTCCATGCGTAGGCGGAATTGACTACCCTGTCGATCAGCCAGCTGAGCCCATGTTCGTGACAGTCCTCGGAAATTCCTACGAGGTGAAGGTGCAGTATCACGTTTTGAATAATATCACATATGTCCTTCTAGATGCTCCTGTTTTTCGCCAACAAACCCAATCTGAGCCATATCCCGCTCGAATGGACGATTTGGACAGCGCAATCTACTATTCAGCTTGGAACCAGTGCATTGCACAAGCAATCAGACGTTTCCCAATCGATCTTTACCACATCAACGACTACCACGGATCCATTGCCCCGCTTTATCTCCTTCCTCAAACGGTTCCTGTTTGTTTGTCGCTCCACAATGCCGAGTTCCAAGGCCTGTGGCCGATGCGCACCCAGAAGGAGAGGGATGAAGTCTGTTCTGTTTTCAACCTTGATCTTGACACTGCAAAGCGCTACGTCCAGTTTGGTGAAGTATTTAACATGCTTCATGCTGGAGCAAGCTACCTCCGGTTGCATCAACAAGGGTTTGGTGCGGTGGGCGTTTCTCGGAAATATGGTAAACGTTCTTATGCCCGGTATCCTATCTTTTGGGGTCTGAAGAAGGTTGGGAATTTACCGAACCCGGACCCTTCGGACACTGGTGAATGGAACAAGGAGTTGCCGAAGGATAGCGAGATTCAGGTTGACCCGAACTACGAGGCGAGCAGAGGAGAGCTGAAGCGTCAAGCGCAGGAATGGGCGGGCTTGGATCAAAACCCAGATGCCGACCTGTTGGTGTTTGTCGGAAGATGGTCTATGCAGAAGGGTGTGGATCTTATTGCTGATGTTATGCCTGCCGTTCTGGAAGCACGTCCTAATGTCCAGCTTATCTGTGTTGGTCCGGTTATTGATCTTTATGGTAAATTTGCTGCGCTTAAGCTCGATCATATGATGAGGTTGTATCCTGGGCGTGTCTTCTCAAAGCCTGAGTTTACTGCACTTCCAGCGTATATCTTCTCTGGCGCTGAATTCGCCCTGATACCATCTCGTGATGAACCTTTTGGTCTTGTTGCTGTTGAATTTGGCCGGAAGGGCGCCCTTGGTATTGGCGCTCGTGTTGGTGGCCTCGGCCAGATGCCAGGTTGGTGGTACAATATTGAGTCCACAACAACTTCCCACCTCTTGCAGCAGTTCAAGCTTGCGATTGGAAGCGCACTTAACTCAAAGCCCCAAGTTCGTGCAAAGATGCGTGCACGCTCCGCAAAGCAGCGTTTCCCTGTTGCTCAATGGGTGGAAGATCTGGAGATTTTGCAGACAACTGCTATGCGGATTCACAGCAAGGGACAGGCAAAATCGAACGGCGGGCCTCTCTCGCCTTCTGGTTATAATACACCAAGTGGAATAATAACTCCAAGTGGAATGATGACGCCTACGATTGCATCGACTGGTACAACGACCCCAACGGGGATGCAGACACCTCCAATCGCACACTCACGGGAAGGCAGCTACTCGAATATCAGCGTCAACCGCGACAGTGCATATGGGCCACAACAGCGCAACACAATTGTATACAGCCGTGACCCAAGCCCTGGAGGTAACGACGAGCCTAGGTTGAGCCTTGGTCGGCAACTGTCACTTGGATTCCGGGCTGGACCAGGACATATTAACCTCCGTGGTCGTCGGCTCAAAAGAAGAAGCCAAATGGGCAACGAGGAGAGTGGAACAGCGACCGAAGAAAGCAGTGATGACGATTATTTCCGCGGAGACGAAGAAGTTACAATTACGAGGGAGCAAGCAGATGAAGGACGTCATCAACGCAATGCTCCGAGGTCGCTTGCATCTCCTACAAACTCTTACTTTGAAGAAGGCATAGCATCTGGAAGGCCACCGTGGGCTCAACCTGGGAATCGACTCAGTAGCGCATCCGTTCTTTCTGTTGATTCTGTCGTCGGTGAAAAGAAAGACTATAAATTGCAGAAAGTCGATCCATTTTTCACAGACGGTACTGGCGAATACTATCGAGTGTTTGATCAGAGGCTTGAGAAGCTCAACGGATCTAACTCCGAATCCCAGCTTTGTATAGAGGAGTATCTGATGAAGAGCGAAAAGAAGTGGTTCGACAAGTTCAGAAACGCAAGATTGGGGCGCAATCAATCTCCTGCTTCTTCGATTTTCCAGACCAAGGGCGAAAACAACACACATATGAGCTCAATATCCCACGAGGATCTGGGCTCAAATGAAAGCGGTAGCGATCCACGCGCAGAAAAGGATGAGTTCCTTCTGGGGCGAGACTATATCCCCCCCTCGGGCCTAAAGAAGTGGATGCAAATTCGAATCTTTGGCTGGCCTGTGTATTCGTTTTTCCTTGGTCTCGGTCAGATTATTGCAGCTAACTCATACCAAATTACCCTGCTTGCTGGTGAAAATGGCCAGACGGCTGAGAAGCTCTATGGTATTGCGACAGTATACCTTGTCACTTCTATTATCTGGTGGTTTTTCTTCCGCTTCTTCAAGTCGGTGTTTGTCCTTTCCATACCTTGGTTCTTATACGGCGCATCATTTGTCATCATTGGATTAGCACACTTTGAGTCGAATGGCTTCGCTCGTGGATGGATCCAGAATGTGGGAAGTGGTGTTTATGCCGCCGCTTCTTCTAGTGGATCACTGTTCTTCGCTCTCAATTTTGGCGATGAAAGCGGTGTTCAGGTTAAAGACTGGGTTTTCCGCGCATGCCTCATCCAAGGTACTCAGCAAGCATATGTTATTGGACTGTGGTACTGGGGAACGACAATCTCCAGTGCTGCCGCCAATGGAGTTACCAACGTCAACGGCGGCATCGTCAACTCCTGGAAAATGACGTACGTAGACCTTTATCATTATGATTACAATTGCTAATAGCCTATTCTAGAGCAATCTGCATGCCAATCGCTGCATTCCTCTGGGCCATTGGTCTGATCATCTTCTTCGGCCTGCCAAATTACTACCGCCAGTCACCTGGAAAAGTTCCATCATTCTACAAATCCGTCTTCCGGCGCAAGATCGTTCTGTGGAACTTCGTGGTAGTCATCTTGCAGAACTTCTTCCTCAGCGCACCTTATGGACGGAACTGGGGCTGTAAGTACACTAGCCCCATACTCTCCAAGAAACCGCTAACTTGTCGTGCCTCATACAGTCCTTTGGAGCTCAAACCATGCTGAAGCCTGGCAAGTCGGCATCCTCGTCATTGTCTTCTTCGGCGTCATCTGGGTAGCAGTGTTAACCATGTTTGGATACCTCTCCAAGCGCCATAGCTGGATTCTACCTGTATTTGCATGCGGTCTGGGAGCTCCACGTTGGGCCCAGATATGGTGGGGTGTCTCTGGAATGGGTCTCTTCCTTCCCTGGGCTGGCAGTTCTGTTAGCGGAGCACTCGCATCACGAAGTTTATGGCTCTGGCTCGGTATTCTTGATGCCCTACAGGGCCTCGGCTTCGGCATGATTCTTCTCCAGACCCTCACACGAGTACACATCGCCTTCACCCTGCTTGCATCCCAAGTGCTGGGCTCCATCGCAACAATCGTTGCCCGAGCATGTGCTCCAAACAACATCGGCCCCGGACCAATCTCGCCGGATGTTACTGCCGGTGGCAGTTCCGTCGCAAACGCTTGGTTCTGGATCGCCTTGTTCTTCCAGCTGTTGATCTGGTAAGTCCTCAATACATCCACACTCCATTCCATACAAGCAGGTTGCTAACAAAACCCAGCGCCGGATTCCTCCTATTCTTCCGGAAAGAGCAACTCACCAAGCCCTAAATCATTACTAATAACCATGCTTTGCACCTCAACCACCCCCTCAACTCTCCGTATACAAACAATATAATATATACCTGACAGCTACACGCATGAAGCCACGGCACGGCACGGGCTCCAAATAACTCAATAGACTCCCAGAAAAACCGCAAAAAAGAAAAGTATTCTCACAGCGCCAGAAAGCGGGGTACCCCATAGAAGCAAGAGGAGGAACACAGAAAAAAGCAACCGGGATTCTTCTTGTACATTAAACATTCTATGTTTGACGTCCGATGTGGAGGTATTTGTGTTTCTTTCCTTTTTTTTTTTATCACTCTCACTTTATATACCGCCCTCCCACATCATCTGTGGAGGGGAGAGAGACGATTTCACTGCATATATGATGCTCTAATGGGTTATTTACTGATGATGAATCGGATGTCGTTACGTTCCTTATACAAATGCATGGATGGATTGTTGTTTTTGTGTTTTTGGTCTGATGCTCTTGTTCATTTGATGTTTTGTGTTCTGTCGCTCTTTATATCCATTTGATGCTGTTGTTGGGTTGTTAGTTTTGTGTTTTGGTTCTTGATTGGATTTCTTTGATATTTTCCCCTCTAATTGGCCCTTGGGGGTTCAAATTGCGTGTTTTGTTGGTAAAGTATGTGAGATGGAGTCTTAATAATAATTCTGGACAAGGTATTGCACATGCACTTATTAAATAGTTATTGTATTCGTTGTGAAAGCTAGGCTTCTTTAGTATCTAGCTGATCAGGTATTTATAAATAATCATTCTTAGCCCGAAACCTTTCCCAATGTGGTTGTAATAATTCCTTCGCCAATATAACATATTACCAAGAATCAAGAGAGTATAGCTGCATAAACGTCGTATCGTACCCGAAATGAAAAGAGAAAGAAAAAAGCTGACACTGGAACTTTTTTGTTTACCATTCCAAAGGCTCGGTCTTGACATCTCCCCGGTTGGTCTTAGGGACAGGGGCAGCCTGAACCATGGTAGCGCCACGGTTGCCACGCTTCAGATAGCCACTTCCATCAAGCCAGGGGGTCTCGAGAGTGCGCTTGGTCTCAAATGTGCGGATCTTGTCTTCCATTTGGAGGGTCAGGCCGATGTCGTCCAGGCCGTTGACCAGGCAATGCTTGCGGAAGGCGTCAACGTCGAATCCAGAGAGCTTGTTGCCCTGGGCATCCTTGATTTCCTGGTTGACGAGGTCGATTTCAATCTCACGGCCTGCGCTGGCCTCCGCGGCAATCTTCTGCAGAGCAGCTTCATCGGAGATCGGGATGGGGAGCATGCCGTTCTTGAAGGTGTTGTTGAAGAAGATGTCAGCGAAGGAGGGAGCGATGATACACTTGATGCCGAAGTCGAGGAGGGCCCAGGGTGCGTGTTCACGAGAGCTACCACAGCCGAAGTTGGGACCGGTGACGACGAGGATCTTGGAGTTGCGGTAGACACCCTGGTTCAGGATAAACTCGGGGTCTTCCTGGCCATCCTTGTAGCGCAGCTCGTAGAAGAGCGCGCTACCAAGACCGGTCCGCTTGATGGTCTTCAAGAACTGCTTGGGAATGATGGCGTCGGTGTCGACATTGGAGCGGTTCATGGGGGCAGCAATGCCCTTAAGGGTGGTGAACTTGGGCAGGCCAGCGCTCGAGCCGCTAGAGGTGTTGGTGTGGGGTTCGTTGTCTGCGGGCTGGTCCAAGATACGTTCGAGTTCTTCCTCAGTGTCGATATCTTCCGCCTCCGGCTGGACATCAACCCTGGGTTGCACCTTACCCAAAACGGGGCTAGTGACAACATGCTCACGGACATCCGCAAGCTTTCCGACGATACCAGCTGCCGCAGCCATGGCAGGGGACATCAGGTGAGTACGACCCTGAGCACCCTGGCGACCCTCGAAGTTACGGTTCGACGTACTAGCACAGCGCTCCTTGGGCGAGAGAATATCGGGGTTCATACCCAGGCACATGGAGCAACCAGCTTCTCTCCACTCAAAGCCGGCGTCAGTGAAGATCTTGTCGAGACCTTCAGCTTCAGCCTGTTGTTTCACGAGACCCGAACCAGGGACGACCATCGCGCGCTTGACATTAGGGGCGATCTTCTTACCCCGAACGACCTTCGCAGCTGCCCGCAGATCCTCAATACGAGCGTTCGTGCAAGAACCGATAAAGACCTTGTCAATCTGGACCTCTTTCATAGGAGTACCAGCCACGAGACCCATGTACTCGAGTGCGCGCTTGCAGGCAAGCTTGCGGTTCTCATCTTCAAAGTCATCGGGTCCTGGAACAACGCCATTGATAGGAATAACATCCTGAGGAGAAGTACCCCAAGAGACAGTTGGGATGATGTCCTTGCCATCAAGCACGATTGTCTTGTCATAGAAGGCGCCTTCATCGGAGGCCAGGCTCGACCAGTAGTTGACAGCCTTCTTCCACTCAGCACTGTCGTACTTCGGGGCGAGAGGACGACCCTTGAGGTAGTCAAACGTAATCTGGTCGGGTGCGATCATGCCAGCACGAGCACCAGCCTCAATAGACATGTTACACATCGACATACGAGCCTCCATGCTCAAGCCGCGAATAACAGAGCCGCAGAATTCGATAACGGCACCAGTACCTCCGGCAGTTCCGATAACACCAATAATGTGGAGGACAACATCCTTACTTGTAACACCTGCGGGGAGCTCTCCATCGACCTGGATACGCATGTTCTTGCTTCTGCGAGAGATAAGGGTCTGGGTGGCCAGGACGTGCTCGACTTCACTTGTACCGATACCGAAAGCGAGGGCGCCAAAGGCACCGTGTGTTGAGGTATGGCTGTCACCACAAACGACCGTCGTTCCAGGAAGAGTAAAACCCTGCTCTGGACCGATGATATGAACGATACCCTGGCGCTTATCTCCCATGCCGAAATATGTAAGTCCGAAGTCCTTCACGTTCTCTTCCAGTGTGGTACATTGCAGACGGGAGTCGGTCTCTTCGATAAAATCTTCGACGTTCTTGAAGTTCTTTCGAGTGGATGTTGGGATGTTCTGCGTCTGAATTAGATTTTGTCATAGGGTCGGGGAAACTTTTGTTGACATACGTGATCAACTGTGACAAGAGTGCAGTCCGGCCGGCGGACTTTCCGACCAGCATTCTTTAGGCCCTCAAAGGCTTGCTATGGGAGGGTTAGAACTTCGCAAAAATATCATCCGGAACAAGTTGACGGATTGGCGCGACGCTACTTACTGGTGAAGTCACTTCGTGGACAAGATGTCTATCTGTAGAATGTCAATCAAACGTGAACTAAACAAACCAAAAGCAGAGCAGAGGAAGAGAACATACCGATATACAGCAAGATAGTACCATCTTCTTGCTCATTGACAATGTGCGCATCCAAGACCTTGTCATACAAGGTCCTGGGCTTCTTATCAACAGCAGGCATGAGGGGCAGAGAAACAGGTAGGAAAGAGGGAAAGGAGGGAGTTATGGAAACAAACAAACAAGCTAGACACAGACACTTGCGTCTTCGCCGACAGTTTTGAAGAAATTATATCTGGGGAATCTGGACAAATACAGAGCTACCTTGGGGAACATTTTAACACTCTTGAAGACCGCGATGTCGCAGGGCAGCCATCGAGGGGCATCCCCGATCTCGGCTGGTCAGCGGCCAATATCCGGGTGGCAATTGGCCGATTTCGACGCCCCACAGTTCCCCGGGCCCCGACACCGGTGGCTGCGCGCTTAGCTGCGGCGGAAACCACGGGTCCTGACTAACGTTGCGGGTGTGATTGCTTGATTTTGAGACAAGAATCCCGCTAGATTAACCATGCCGTTGCACTGCGTCACTAGTGTGAGAAAGCGCTTTATGGTCTCCGATCCTCCTCACTGGTCGGGTCGCATGGTCAGACCCGAGTACAGAGGAGACGAAGTAGCAGTCAACTCCATATTCTCCCATCTGCAATGAAAAATCATGACATACGTCTCCTCGTAAAGTGAAGAATACTTACCCTAGAGTACTCCCTATGGAAGCAGGAGTTTAAAGCTGGGTCCGTACTATGACGTAATGAACTCTCTTAGTTGTGTATTTTAGTATAGCTGTAACATACACATTCAAATCTTAGTTTAACATAAACACCGACGCTGTACAAATCACAATAAGAAACTCCTCATGCCGGGGTGATAGGCTTGGATGCCGGCACAAAGGCTAGCGGGGCGTTTGCTGCCAGCAATCCAGATGCTCGGCCTGTCACCTTCGGGTCGGGTCCAATGAAGTTGTTGGGGAATCCGACATCCAGTGGCCTGACACTCTCGAGGTATTCAATTTGCTCCGGCGTCAACTTGATCTTCAAAGCCTGAATATTGTCATGTAGGTGTTCCACCTTCCTGCCACCAACCAGTGGGAAGACATTAGTTGCTTTGTGCATGACATAGGCCAAAGCAACAGCCGTTACAGATTCAATGCCATGCTCTGATGCAACCTTGGCCAGTGCTTCACTCATTTTAGCTTCATCCTCGGTCTGCCCACCTTCGCCAATCATGCTTCGCAATCCTTCATTCTTCTTCTTCCGCTCCTCTAGTGCCTTCTTGGTCTGGAATTTGCCTGAGCCGAGGACATCCCAAGGGGCCAGAGCCATCCCAAAATGGCGCGCATGGGGATAATCTCACGTTCAAAATCACGAAGCATCACATTCCACCGGCCCTGGTAGATACTGAAGGGGGTCTTACCATGGGTTCGAGCGTAGGTGTTGGCGGCACTCACAACCCACGCAGGGGAATCCGAGATTCCTAGGTAGAGCACTTTACCCTGTTCCACCAAAATGTGAAGGCTGTCCATGATTTCCTCAATGGAGGTGGTATGATCCCACCAGTGAAGGTATAGAATATCGATCCAGTCTGTTTGGAGCTTGCGCAGGGAGTCGCGCACGCTCATGTGTAGACTGCGGCGGTGGTTACCGCAGTGGTTCGGTGCGTTGCCCTTTCCAAGTGCATACGATTTGTAGTCCGTAGTGAATTTGGTCGCAAGGACAAGTTGATCACGATTCTTCCGGGCTGTCATCCATTCGCCTAGCCAAGCTTCTGATTGCTCATTCTGGTAGTTGTTGGCCGTGTCGATGAAATTGCCTCCGGCTTCGACAAAGGCATCCAACAGCTTGAATGAGGACTCTTTGTCCATTGATCCCATAAAGTGAGACCATGCATCCCCAATGGACATAGCACCCAGTTGCAGTGGCGACACGCGGATGCCCGCAGTCGAAGAGAGGACGCGGTAGCGACCCAGCTCAGTGGAGGGCTCTGGGGCAGGCGAGAAGATTTCGGACATGTTGAAGTATATACTTTTAAAGTGTATATATAAAACAAAACTTTGAATCAGGAATTGATAGTAAGCAACGGACCCAAGAACCATCCACCACAGTGATTGTGGTCCGTATTTATAGCTCCCATGTTGGGCCAAGTCTGCTGAATGAGCCGACGGAGTTATGGATGGAGCTACATCATAACCGCAGTTAAGAGGTACTTTGAGTTGAGCTTTCCCATGGGGTTAAGAAAACGCTTATGCCGATGGATGACAGGTTGAGTAATCAGGATCGGCGACAGGGTTCAGTACCTTAACTCCGGGGTCCGGCGGGGCAGAAAATGGCCCGTATCTCCGGGTATAAGGATAACTGTTTGTGCATCATGTCCCAGAACATTACTTAACTCGGAGCCGGAGCTGGATACCCGTGACACTTTGTATTCACCTTGAGTCTGGAATGTAGTAGGTAAACCCCTCTTTATCTCTAGCACATTACCATCCCTTAGCTCTGATATTAACCTATACTTCCTCAGTCGTAAGCTTATAGTACAGATTATATATGCCTTGTTACTTACGACTAGTACTCTGTTTAATAGTCCTTCTTCTATATAGTACTTACCAATCCTGGATCTCTGGAATCCTTTACATAGAAGATCTTTTGCCTCGAGCTACCAGTTCTTGAGCCTACCATTCTTAAATATAGTCAAATCGAAATATGGGGTAGAAATTATACAGCTCTTATAGATAGCCTTTCTCTACTTAATGTTAGTAGATAGATATGCGGAGTTAGCTCTAAGAGAAAGGTATAACCCCAGTATTATAAGATTGGCCAGTATGAGACTGTAAGGTACGATCCCGTACGAAATACGTATGAAGGATAGTGAAGATTTCGCTCAGGACTTACCTTCAGATTCATTGACAATTGACAATGGGTCTATTCTTCGGTTCTATTCTATATTAATGACTCACGCTTTTGCTCTGTTATACAGGCTGGATTTTCGAAGATCTACATAAGTCATTACTAGTTGATCTACGCACAGGGTTTTCTGACAAGATATAAAGTATATCAATCAAGATCGTTTCTGGTTAGTTTCTATTGATCTTTAAATCTATAACTGAGGCAAAAACGCCCGGTTATCTTCGCGAAATACGAGCAATGCCAGCCGATGCCGCACAAATAGACCAAAAAATCCACAGACAACTTGAACCGCGACCATATTCCATGCCAGCCGATTCTCTTTCATTGGTCCCATCCACACCAGCCACAGATTAAGTATCGTCAAGTTAGTTGATTCCACAATTTGACCATGGTCATTCTTTGTAACACGCACCAATCGCAGCCGATGAAGAAGCTCCAGGCCAGCAGCGATTAGTGGCGAAGGTGGTACCGTCCACTCCGTCACAGAAGCGTCAAGCAGTCCAGTCACGGCATTAAACTTGGGTAATCTGTGCCGAGGACAAGGAATCAACTTGAACAGCTGCGGGGTCGAATACAGGAAATTGAATATCTGCGGTATGAAAAGCAGCAGTAACGTTTTACTGAAATGTCCCAGGATACCAACGACGGCAAAAACCATCCCCGCAAAATAGCAGTAGGTGTCTCCGACGAACACTTTGGAGGGGTACCAGTTGTGCAACAACAGAGCCAACGACACCCCAACAAATGGAAGTAAGAAATAAAGGGAGAAGAGATGCGAATCAGTGGCGGGATGGGGATACGGCGTGATGGGCGCAAGATACAGCGCATCATTCGCTATGAGCAAGATTGCGATCACCAGAGACTGAGCTACCTCAACTCCGTTAATCCCTGCCAACATGTTGATGGAGTTAGGGCAGAAAATAGCCACCGCAGCCATGTATACGTAATACAGCCATCCGAGGTCAACAAATGAACCCAAGTAGGGCTGCAAGGGCACCGGAACGACAACCTGTGTGACACCAAAGTCCACAAAGTAAACTATAAGCATTGGGATTGCTCCGAAGGCTGGTATGAGAACTTTGTGTCTCCATCGAATGTCAAGAAGGTCATCACCCAATCCCAGGATGACAATACATTGCAGAGAAAGGAGCCCAGAGAGGTAAGATGCAAGCTACAACCCTTGTCAATAAACCGATATAAGCAAAAAGCAATTGGAGAATCACAAACCCTTCCGTGAGGGAATCGGTGGAGCATCCGACCAGTTTCAACGTGATGAACTTCAAGAACGACATCACGGTTACCTCCACCTGAAGTGGCTGCCACGATGTCTTTGTAAAAAGCAAAGGGAATGAAGAATATAAGCGCCAGAAGATACACGACTGCGCATACTGCGCCCATTGTCTCTGGGCTGGTACAGGAGAAAGTTAGTTCCAAAATCATCTAGTGATTGCGTTCCGCAATTCATTACAGCAACAATTGTCAAATTAATACATACATTTCAGGTCTCTTGGGTTTTGCCATATCTCTTCCCTTCAACCCTGCCTTCATGAAAACTGGTCCCAGCCATCTGATCAGGCTGTATGCGACTGCAAACACAATCCCACTAAAGGCAATTGATGCTACCAAAGGCGCGCCCTCATCCTGGAAAGTGTTGAGAAGGATGCCAGCGCAGACGCCTACTAGCATCAAGAGATGCCAGGTCTCCTGGCGAGAAAGAGAGCTCGAATTCATCATGAATGACAGAATTGCAGCATTGCTCCCCTAGCCGTGGAAGAGTTCCTCTCTACTGAGACAGAGTCTAAAGATCAATAGAGAGAACCACTTATAGATCCCGTATAGAAGATCAATGGAAGCAATCTGGCTTCAAGGTATAATTCTGCCAGATAAATTTGACCGCTTATCTCGGGCGGTAGGTCAGAAGCTGCCAAAGATCATCCGCAACTTTGCCTGAACGGGATAGAGCGTCATGTGGCTTACGTAATTACCCATTATTGACCCGCTTGCTGCTTCACATGCACGGCTTGTCTGGTCCCATAGGTGAAAGCGTCGTCATTCTTTTGGAACATACGCAACTTATCGGCCCCCTAATTACGCGCGTATAATACTCGCTGCGTGGTGGTTGGCGCTGAAACTCTAATTGGTGATCTTGAATCCGGCCTGAGATGTCTGGATTCGCCGATTTCGACGCCGGTCATCGTGACTTGATAACTGTCACTAAATTCAATTTCTATGGTAATCGCATTGTTACGGCCTCTTCTGATCACCGTATGAAAGTATGGGATCAGAAAGACGGTGAATGGCAATTAACTGACACTTGGCGTGCACATGATGCTGAGATCCGCGATGTAAGCAAAACCACGTTCCATAGTATTCAGTTCACTCTGTAGTCCGTACTGTGCCAGTTGCATACTAACTGGTTTCCTAGGCAAGCTGGAATGGTCCATTTACGGGCCAACATATAGGTAGTGTTGGTGAAGACATGAAATGCAAGATATGGCAAGAAGATGTTACCCAACCTCCTAACTCTGGCCGACGCTTCCGGTCTATCTTTCGCATGACGGCACCGCACCGGCATCCGTTCGTCTCAATTGACTTCCGCAATATTGACCTCGAGTCATGGCTTGCTGTCATTACACGAGATGGGTTCCTGATGGTCATGGAACCCGTAAGTCCAGATACACTCGCGGACTGGCAGCCTCTTGATCAGTTTCGTGTTTGCACTGCACCCCAAAGGGAGAGGAAACAAGTTTCAAGGTGCAATTTCACCACGACCCCACAGATATCACCCACTCAGTTTTGCCGTCTTCGGATCGTAAAAGCCTCTCACTAGTAGTGGCAGCTATGGACAGTGTGAAAGTATATCGCACCGATGCCAGTCGACGTTTCTATCACGCAATTGAGCTGTCGAGCCATGGAGGCCTTGTGAGAGATATCTCTTGGGCCAATGGCTCCGTTCGCGGCTATGATCTTATTGCTAGTGGTTGCAAGGACGGCTTCATCCGAATTTTCGAGATTTACACATCCGCCGCGGACAACGAGCCTCACGGTTCAAACGGCGAGCAATCCCGGCCATCCACACAATCATCTTCGATCCGTGCAACAGCGCAATCGGGCATAGGTTCCGCCCTTGCGAGTCGCGCTCCGATGTCTATGGCCAGCCGGTTGGCAACAGGGGATGCTCAATTTAAGCATACTTATAAGGAAGTAGCGTGTATCGACAGCAAACATCTAGACGTGTGGCAGGTGGGCTTTTCGTACGCTGGTCAGTAATACCCTGCTGAACGCCCGTGCCTATCCAAACATATACTAAACGCGCACAGGTGATTGCCTCATTTCCTCTGGTGACGATGGGACTGTACGATTCTGGAAGAAATCCCTATCAGACGAATGGCTGGAATATGCCGAAGCTGATATGACTTACTGATGGACATGCTTTCGTCACGACAATGCTTTTCCGTCTCCACATGATGCAATATCTTGTTATATTCCTTGTCGCAATATCCGTAAGGATATTTGCTTCATGAGGGACATGGTTCTCCTTGCATTTATACAATCTAGCATCCTATTGTTGTGTTTACTAGACAGTGATACCCATACAGCCCTAGCTTATATTATTGGGTAGACAGGCTTTTTTTGCTTGTCTCGCACGATTAATTATAAGTAGAATCGAGCTTCCCTTTCTTTACTTGTCCTTTCCAATGTGGAGTTTCCCCCTGAGTGCCAACGACGCTGGCCACTGTTCCTTCCTTGGGCGAAACGACATGCGGGCCCGCCCCATGATGCTATCGATGAGGGAAGGAACAACTTTCAATTCCATTTTCACCATACACACATTTAATTAGCGCCATTCGAGTGTGCTCTAAGATATGTGTGAACATTTTGTACTGTGTCAATGCTTTAAAACCCAATGCACAGTTCAGTGACGGAACCCCGTCCTATATCGTTTTTAGTTCCATTTGCACAATGGCTATAGGACCTACTCTAGGGACCGGGTTGTTTATCGGTTCCGGTCAAGCTTTAGCTGCCGGTGGTCCAGCCTCATTGCTCGGCTCCTACATATTCATATCCGTATTGGTATACTGTGTGTCGACGGCTGTCTCAGAGATCGCGGCTCACCTACCCTCCCAGAATGGCACAATGGTCAATCACACTTATCGCTATGCTTCGTCCCATTTAGGATTTTCCCTCGGGTATCTACGCTGGCTTTCCATAGCTACGTTGGTCCCCTTTGAAATCACCAATGCAATGGTCAACCTTGGCCTTTGGAATCCCGGAGCTAGGCTTGCAATACGGATCAGCATTGTCACTGCCGTGGTGTTCGTCTTCAACATGTTGCCAGAAAAGGTGTTCAAAAGATCGGAGGCTGCATTTACAGCTTTGAAACTTGTCACAACCATCGGCCTCATCATTATTTCTGGCTATCTCGCCGTTCGGGGGGCCCCCGAATCTGCTGCGCGGGGCTTCCAATACTGGCACGAACCTGGTCCTATGAACGAATATCTCACTGACGGTCATTTGGGACGGCTTCTAGGGCTAGTACAGTGTATCCTATGCAGCACTATATCCTTTATCTTCAGCCCCGAATTGATCGTTCAGCGAGCGGAGCAAGTAGATTCAGAGTCGACCCGAAGTATTTTGAGCGTGACTCGAATTGATTGTATCCATCTTTTCTCACTCTATATATTGAGTTCTCTAGCCATCACCCTGACTAGCCCATCGGATGAGCCTCTTTTGACGAATCATGGCATCGGTGCTGGATTATCGCCCTACATTGTGGGCATCAGAAGATCTGGGATTCCTATTCTACCAACCGTTGCAACGGCTCTCATATTCCTGTCATCTGTGGCCTCTGGACGATCATTCCTCTATATATCATCTCGTATCTTGTGCTCCCTGGCTGAGACTGGACATGGCCCCGAGTTGTTCAAGCTACGCAATGACTATGGTGTGCCTTATATCTCTGTTGTTATATCAGCACTGTTCTCTGGGTTTGCATATCTATCCTTGGCAATGTCTGCGTCAGTCGTCTTTAATCTGCTCATGTATTTCATCACCACGTCCGGCTATATTTCATGGTTGTTCTCGTGTGTTATCTATTTCCAGTTCCGACGGACAACCGCACTACAAGGGTTCACACCAGCCAACCAGACACGTATCCAACCGTACGGTGCATATTTCGGTATCGCAGCCTGTACATTTCTGCCCTTGGCCAACGCCCTAATACTAGCAGCCCCGTCATGGGTAGTTGCGAGGAACTCCATTCCTACGTACATTGCCGTGTCTATTTTTCTTTTGCTTTACTTTGGGCACCTGATGAATTCCATCATTACACGGCGACGTCTTGAATCCGGGGAGCTCCGAAGGCATGGATGTGGCGGCACGCTTGATAAGCGCTTCACAAGACCCCAGAGTTGATGGAGATAGTGGCAAGAGATTCCGGATTTGTCTTGTTCCCGCGCTTAAACTAGATGCCCAAAGACCTAACCTGGTAATAAAACAAAGTGGAAGGTTCAATTTTGGGCGAGCTTGGCACTATACTTATTCGATTATTGTTATTGGTATGTCATCATTAGGGTGATTGATTCCTGTGGCCTACTCTTGGCCAAGTTGAAATCAGTATCGGAGTAGTAATGTATCAGTTGGCGCCGCATGATTTTCCTGTCCCAAAAGCGAATCTGTATTAGCAACAATAATAATACAGATATTAATATTAAAGGTCAGGACGACATTAATGACAAGCAAGTTTGGCTCCGCATGAAGGCGTACCCCTTAAAACGATCTAGTTTTTCGTAGTCTCTCCATGGTGCCTGAGGACGGGGGGCAATTGACTCCCCAGGCACCGAGGCACCCCACGGGCCTCGCCTTCGCCACCGACAGAGTTGGCAGCCCTCCTAACTTGATTAATTTAGGGCGCTAAAAAGGCCACTTGCTCCCGTCCACTAGAGGGAAAAAAGGCAGGCCATTACTATTTTTTCCCCTTCCTCTCTCTCGAACATTGTTTGGGTTATGGTTAATGTTTCCCCTTTGCTCTTTTCATCCTCATCCGCTTCGGGTTGAACCATTTTTTCCTGACAAAATTCCGTAGTTCGTTCTACCTAATTATAAGGGCTCCGTCTACCCCTCTGTTTCTCTCTCTCTCTTTCTCTGTGAACCCCCCTGAACTTGACATTTTTTTGTCTCAGTGTCTTGATCAGATCATGTTATCCTTGACGCGATCCCGACACATGGTCCAGATGACTCGCCTTTCGGTCATTTTCTCCAGTCCCCCCTCTTTCTCACAACATCCCATACCGCTACTAAACTCCTGGTGATCCACCACCGACCCCTACCACAACCACAGATTACCCTACTACCTTCATTTCTTTGCTCAACTTCTTTACAGTCCAAATACTTTTCATGACTGGCCCAGTCCTTGGCTTTTTCTACTCAACTCATGATAAATTGAGGGACCCCAGCAATACCTCATAATCCAGTTCGGTCCTCCCTCACTTTTCACGCCAGTGTGGCTAATCTGGACGGTCCGGATGAACCTGTTTATTAATATTGCCCGTCTGATCTGATATTTTTTTTTCTTTTCACTTATCTTCTTTCGCTCTATCCCCTTTCTTTTTCTATCGCTTCAACTTACAAATTAGATTTGCTGCAACCCCTTATGTGCGTGGGGCTCTACTATAAGAAGCATTGGGGCTACCTACTAAACTTGCCGCAAGTGTTGATCTGGCCTACTACAACATTGAACTGGCGAGATGCTCTTCTGTTTTGCTCATACTTTGACTTTGCTCTGGTGCTAACCGTGTCTGTCACTAACCCTGCATTTCATGCATCCGAAGTTGTCCATGTCGTTTTTATATTTACCCTTCTGGCCAGCTGATCCATGATGTTTGTTGTAACGCACATATGATACGTGCTGGCAGGACTGACCTCAGACAGGCCAAATCTTTTGCCCAATCTTTCCCTGCATTGAAGGTGAAGTATTACTTATCATCCCTATTCTGTGCTCTATGACTTCTGTATTTATTCCTCACCATTGCTTTTGTTTTTGTTTTCTTTTTTGTTTTTATTTTTTCTTTCCCCTACACCCGACCTTGGATTCAACACACCACGGTTATGATCACTACGTTCTCAGCCTGTCAGCCTTGCTGCCTTGATGATCTTCCATACTTGTCACTCTCTCCGTCTTCCCCACTATGCCTGAAATGAGTCTTGGCACTTACCTTTCCTTTCTGGGACCGAGGGCAGCCCTCCATGCCGAAAATGGATAGGCGGGAATTTCGACCGTCAAATTCCCCAGGCAGCACTGTCGGCCTAACTGGCCTGACTTCTCAGGCCGTCACCCAGTCCGAGTCCAACGCCCTCGACCCAAAGGTCGGCGTGGGTTCGTTTCCGGTCGACCTCGAAAGCCACCTTTCCTTTTGTTCTCCTGGTCCTTTCGCACTTCCCCCCTCCCTTACGATCTGGCTCGCAATTCGTTCTTCGGACGGGCAAGTTCTCTCGCGCTCGTCCGATCGCTTTCCCTACTTCCCACACCCCCCTCTCGTTTTCCTTATTAATTATGTTCTTCTTCTATCTACGGATTCCGCCCAAGGCGAGAAAATAAAGAAAATTAATCACCTAGGATCAGCAACTGCTTTCCTGCCGAGCGAGAGCGGGTGGGAAAAAATATTCCACGCTTTTCCTCTTTTACTCTGGGTCTTGGGACGCGCCGCTTGAATGGCCCATCCGTGGCTTTAGCCTCTCTCACAACTCTCCCTCCCTCTCTTCCTTCTCCCTCTCCCTCTTGTTCTTAACCTTTACTCTCCTTCGTTCGTCTTTCTATCGTCTATCCTCCCATTTCCGTTTTCCTTCACTTCTTTCATTGCTCCTACGTTCTCTCCCCACGTTTACCTAATCCTTTCCCTTCTTGTCTCCCTTAACTTGATCCTTCTAGGTGGAATCTCCTCACCATTTTCTGGCCTCATCTCACCTCCCTGTCGCCATCATCTCTCTCCATGCGATTCGTGGCCCGACCGCCTCTTTACGTCTATCGGTTTCCGATTCTCGATACATCTCTACTCTCACACGGTCGCACGCGCCAACGAGATCGACGACTCTACTAAGACCTCGATAACCGGTCACCCCTTTTGCACCTCTCGACCAGATTGTCTTATCCAGTGACACATATCTTGACAACGACCAAGCGACTGTACCAGCCTGGATCCCCACGGTATACTTGGACTCGCCTGGCTTGTTCCTTGTCAACCAATACCGGAATTTTCTTGGTCTTGCTCTCCTTTATTGACGGTTTCCTCCGTGGATCTTCAGCCTTTTGGCTGTACCAGCGCTGATTATAACGAGCTATTTAAGGAGGCAATTGTCGGTTTGGCAATAAGTGACATGCGTGCTGGGCTTTGACGGGTTATCCGTGAGCCTTTCTTCCAATTGAAACCCACTGCGCGTTCACTGTTTAGCCTGAGAGGAGGTATCCTGTCAGATTATGACAGATACCTCCCCTGTCGTCATCACGCATCCAGCCACGGAGCCTTATCCGGTCGCCGTCCCTCTGAATTCGCCTGCCGTCAACGGCGCCGTTTCCGACTCCGCTGCCCCCGAAGAAGAGGAACCGTATACCATCAAATGCATCTGTGCTTTCGAAGATGACGATGGGAACACGGTCTTCTGCGAAGGGTGCGAGACGTGGCAACATATCGAGTGCTACTATCATGGTCGGGACGTACCAGAGGTCCACAATTGCGTCGATTGTGAGCCCCGGCCTTTGGACGGCAGGCGTGCCACAGAGCGGCAGAGACGTCTCAGGGAACAGAGCGATGGCGGTGACCGGAAAGCTAAACGTTCAGGAACAAAGAGCCAGAAGAAAAAGGCTAAGGATGGCGAACAAGTAAACGGCATCCACAATCGATCCGAGTCCAGTGCTCGCGACCAGCCTCCGGCGAAGAAGGCTAAAACCAACCATCGTGCCTCTGGGTCCGTTAGCTCCTTGGCTGGTGTGCCATCTCTTCCTCCAGATTCTCGTAAACGTACCACGACATCAATGAGTCCCACGAAATCATCAGGCCCTTCTATTCCCTTATATTCGAATGAATTTCTCCATCTCTATGACCATGACAACCATGTCAATACAGATAGTAATCTGTTTGTCAATCTTGAACTTGCCACGCATTTGGCGAGGTGGGTGAACGAGCCAGGCGCACTCGCTAGCGCTTCTAACGGGCGCTCTGCGCAGGATGTTTTCACTTGGTCGGGTGGGGCGCTGGACAGGTCACATTGGCCCTCTCTTGCAACAGAGACCATCGGCGATCCGAACGTTGACATTGACGGAATTCATCCAACTTGGAAGATCCTCAAGACACGGGATCCCGTCCGGAAGGACGAGATTGTAGGAGAGATCACGGGCAAAATCGGACCACTGTGGAAATACTGCGTTGAAGCCAGTAACCGCTGGCAAGAGCTTCGTCATCCAGAGCCTTTCGTTTTCTTCCACCCTCAACTGCCTCTCTATATCGATAGTCGCCATGAGGGAAACATACTCCGCTATGCGCGACGGTCTTGTCGTCCTAACGTCACCATCAAAACCTTCATCACCAACGAAGTGGAGTATCATTTTTGCTTTGTTGCTAAAGAAGACATAGCAGCCGATTCAGAGATTACCGCCATGTGGTACCTAGACCCACAATTGTTTGAATCGACCAATGGTGTCGTCAAGCAGGAGTTCAGTGACAACGCACAAGATGTGGCGGCCATGTGCATTAGCAACGTACTATCTCACTTTGGCGGCTGTGCCTGCATTGCCCCACCCAATTGTTTGTTGGCTAATGTGGACCGCCGTCGGCACCCGAGAGCATTGGATACCAACTCGAAGCAGATAAGTCTAAAACGGAAGAAAGCTAAAAGCAAATCGAACATTTCTCCCCCAGCGTCCAATAGCCGTGCTGGCAGCGAGGCTACTAAAAACCTGGAAGAGGACGATCAGACAGATACCCGTTCCACGTCAGGCTCTGCACGAGGTCAGACCCGTAGTCGCGATCTCACACCTACATTGCAGACCCCTACTGAAGGGCTTATATTCGGCGAATCTGAGCTCTCGGCTCGAGATAAACGGAAAATTGCTGCAGCAGAGAAGAAATTCCAGCAATTGGAACAGGACCAACAAGCTTCGCACCGGAGAAAGAAGCGAGCCAGTGGTCAGTCTACGCAGATGACACCGGTCATTGGAAATGCGTCGGCTCAAGCAGGCTATTTCACACACCTAGGCGGTCGTGATCGCCAGTCTCACTCGCCGACATCAGCTATTTCCCCGGGGTCTTTGCCTGGAGGACGCCATGGCTCTCCGCGAAAGGTATCGAGTCATGGACCCCCTTCGCTGCGGTCTCGGCCCGGGCGTCCTCAGTACGTTGACTCAGCGACGCAGACGGAACTCGATGTTAGTGATAGCCCCTCACCGTCTACTACTCCATCTCGTCGACCCAATTTTGTCCCATTCACCCAGCGGCTGCTAAAGCGATGTTATGCGGATCGTATACGACTGGAACAGACTAGTCAACAGCACCCCGTGTCGCCCTCTTTGCAGTCAAAGCATGCCACACATCTGATGTCCCCAGTGTCAAGCCCACGCGCAGGGCCACCCACCGTCACCACACCGAGCGTGTCGGGTGACCGGGAAGACATGGAAATGAAAGATGCCGTGTCCCCAATGGGTACCTCTCCAGGCGGGCAGCATGAGAACTCGCCATTATCTGGCCGAAGTTCTATCAAACCTCCACTGCCACCACCATGGCCATCCACTGCTGCTCATAACTCACGAATACCGGGAGGCAAAGTAAACAATCATCGCGTTGATCTCCGCGTTCCACTTCCTCCTGCTACCATTCCCTCCCTACCTCCTGCCAATAGCCCAGAGTCCGTTGCACCGGCTGTGCTGTCGTCATCATCTACCTCGGAAACAGCAATCCCCGGGTCTAGCGTGACTGCACCTAGCCCAGTGAAGAAGAAGCTTAGCTTAGGGGACTATCTCATCCGAAGAGGCACTCTCACCACTCCAACATCCGAAAAGCCGCAAGCTCAGGCCCCTCCGATGCCCCCGACAAAATCACCTACAGCCCAACCCCACATGAGTCGCGATTTATCTACAGTTAGTAACAACGAACATGCACAGGGCCGGGCTGTTGGAGATGGCGGAAGTGCCAAGTCCTCGGATGTTACAATGAGAGATGTTTCTGGGCCGACACAGGCTTCCCAGCTATCGTCGCTTTCCTGAGATGCCAGGCCATCCCTCATCCAGGCTGCCTCCTAGCGGTGGCGATGGTAGTGACAGTGGGCAGTGTGTTATTTTTATCTATTACTTGAATCTGTACACGATGGGAATTGGCGTTCAGCCGTGGATATGTGTGCTCTTCTTGGGCTTATGTCTGTTTTCTGTTTCTGTTTCTTTTTTTTTTTCTTTTT